TAAGCCCCCCCAACGGCAACAACGGCAAGGGATTGGGGGTGGAACCCTCTAGAGAATGCACTGCCACATAATGAACACCCATGTTTATTTGGTCTGTAAATTAATGTTTGTGTTAAGGCTAAATCTTCCTTGTGTTGACCGCATTTGTTTGTTTAGGATTTTATAATAACAAGAAAAAATTATAACTGCTATATTTATATGGATATCACACAATGAGTTAGATAATTAAATTGCATAATTACCAAATCATTATGTACAACCTTTTAATTTACATAGTTATATAATATAACACAGGCACATGTCCAAAGTGGATCAAACCCACCCACTATGGTATATAGAAACAAATTAATTTTTTACAAAACTTAGCAGAATAATACAACACACTTCTAATTCCCTTGCTTTTGAAAAAAAAAAAATGTTAAAGATAAAATAGTAATGTTTGCATAAAATTCAGTAAATGATATTAAGTTCAGGAAGAAAACCAATAACTAATGAAACTTTGATTGTGAAAACTTGAGTGTGTACAGTACTGAGAATCAAAATAATTAGCAGATTTTAAAAATAATTCAAAATTAGAAAGGAGAGGAAAGAAATGTTCATTCTGACATGGAATACCATAATAATACTAAAGCAAAGAATGTACGAAGTTAAGTAACCAAAAGAAGGCCTGGAAGGAAAAGCAAAATTAATCAGGTCCATTAATAGCATAACATGTCTACATGTCTACATGAAAAGCAAAAGATTTCTTTTCTTTTAGACTGGTTGTAAACTATGGCAACAATTCTTACCCAAACCTTACATAAACAGATCTATAGCACCCCAGTACCTTATTTTACACTGTACATTGTACATTGCATCTGCTCATGCCTTGTGTGCATGTGTTTTATAAACACTGACATGTGTTAATGTTCCTTCTAGGAACTCTCCATCGGACCCCTAAGCTCAGTCTAGCTTTGGTCTAACGTACGAACATATTTTGACTTTTAAATCTTCCTCTTGAAAACTAAGCATATACAGTGTAAAAGGCAATAATAAGTACACAAACTGTTTTATAAAATAAATAAATAAACACATACATTTTCAAAAAAATATTTCCATTGTTCCCCTGTGAAAAAAATATCATTCTAGTTTTACAACTATTAATTTGATTTCAATTCATCTCAAAAATCTTTTAACAAGTTTATAATATCATCAAGTCTAGGCAAATAAAAATCGGGCAATAGCTTGTGCTTTTCTTCATCCATGCTGCTAGCATATTCTTCCAAGTCTTCCATTGTTGTCACACCTGTTAGTACCAGCATTGTCTGCAAGTTGCTATTCTTGCCAAAAAGAATATCTGTGTTAGAGCTGAAATGTTAGAGAGAAATGTATTACATTTATTATTAATGTTATTATTTTATTTTTATTCATACACAGACATAAATCACACAAACAAATAAACAAACAGACATGCACGCACGCACGCACGCACGCACACATATTCACACATACACATGTTTTCTTTTATCTTAGGTAACTTAATTTCAAGGTACACTATACCAGCTAGCTACTGTAAACAACAATTATCTTAAAACAGAAGGAAAACAAAGAGTAAAAATAACCTTTATAAACATTATTGTAAATATAACATAAATAACAGAATGTTATTTTGAAAAGCAGATGTCCATAATTTCATTATGTAAAAATGGAAAAAAAGAAAACATTGATTAAATACCAAAATCATTGGTGGAGAAATTTGGCTTTTAGTTAATGGGTGCCAATCCAAAAAATGTCTGACTATATAAATAAGAAATGGCATAAATATGTACAATGTTATTTCTTTGTTCTTTAGTGCTAAGTTAGTTACATAAAAACCATAGCATCTTTGAGATATAAGTATATCCAATAGAAATGTTATTTGTCTGAAAATTTAAGTCTGTAACAGCCTGGTGTACAAGATGCACTCTAAAGGAAATGTTGCTAAACCAACTTCAATACCATACTAAAGAATATATTTGTCTTAACCCAATATCAATGCTTGATTAGCAGTGTTACCAAGAAGAGAACTCATAATACTGATGTGAGACTATTCAGCCTTTACATTAACTATGGTGTAGCAGAAATGTGCCCAAATTTTGTTCAGTTATGTTAGAAAATTGCAACACAAGTGTATCTGATCTAAACACATATACATTTTTGTAAAAATGTTACTTTAAACTTATATGCCATCAAAAAAGACCTATTTAAGGATTGGTTGACTTGAGAGATCGTATTCTTACTAATAATCCTGATAGCTACAGAAACTAATTTCAAAAACATTTAACTCAATGTTCACGATACATTTATTCTTGAAACTCTATTTTATAAAGTAAAATATTACACCTTGTACTACTCATATCTACAGGATTACTACTAATACATCGGAGATATGATATACATATAGTTTTAAAATAAAAGCATTATGCCAGACAACCTACCGATCTCCAATCATGAGTGTGCGAGATGCCTGAAGTTGGTGCTTCTCACTTAAAATTGTAAACATGTTCTTTGATGGCTTGCCTATGACTATAGGTGGGCGGGCTACAACTGTCTCAACACAACTCACCATACATCCAGCACCTGTTGAGGATTTTATATTAAAAAGAAGGCAAGATTCTTTTTTTAAATCCTGAGTCATAAAAGAGTCACATGATTTAAGTTCATATAAAAAAGTACCTGACCTGAGGACTAGAGAACAACTTAAAAAAAATAAAAGCATGACTTATAGAATAATCACAGAATACTTAATCAAAGGACAAAAAGTGGCACTAAATGGACATTACTTGGAATCAATAGTTTGCTGTTTGCTCTGGGAAAACACTCATCTGTATTTGTAGCAATAAAGAGGCAGTCTGGTTGCTGAAGGTAAGATACAGCCCTCACTATTTTGGGGAAGCTCAGGTAAGGATCAAAGCCCACAACCACAGCTCCAATGTCTGGCTCCAGTTTGATCACCTTGTCCATTGCAAACGGGTCCCCAATCATGTGCTCTGACTAATGAAATTTAAAAAAGTTTTTTCTCTCTAACATGTACACTACATGCCTTTTTGGTCAAATAAGAATTAATAAGAAGGGTTTGGACTAAAGACATTTCCTTTTTTCTTGATACTGCCATTACATGTTGTGATGTAATACTAAAAATAATAAAAAACTCTATTTCCAGAGCTAACATCAACTGTTTCTAATACTGACATGTATATACATACAAAGATATACATATGTATATGGATAAGTACATACACATATCCACACACACACATACATACATATATACATAATAAACATTAATATATATATAACATATATATATATATATATATATATATATATATATATATATATATAATATATATATAGATATAGATATAGTATAGATTATATATAGATATAGATATAGATATCTAGATCTATTAGATATCATCAATCTTAAAGATTTTCACAATAGATATATAGCTCTAATATAGCTACTCTCGAATCTAATCGATATAAGATATCAGCATAGGATAGATATAGATATCGTCTATTCTGTATATATATCTAGATATCTCTCTTATATATATCATATCTCGCTCTATAATCTCTCTCTCTACTATGTGCGTGTGTGTGGTGGTGGTGTGTAGTGCGTGTGTGGTTGGTGTGAGTGTGTGTGTGTGCCTGTGTGGTGTGTGTGTGTGTGTGTGTGTTTGTTTGTGTGCTGTGTTGTGTGTTTGTGTTTGTGTGTGTGTTTGTGTGTGTGTGTGTGTGTGTGTGTTTTCTGTGGTGTTGTAGTGTGTTGTGGTGTTCTTCTTCTTTCTTCTTCTTCCTGTGGGTGTGTGTGTAGTTGTTGTGTGTTTTCTGGTGTGTGTGTTGTGTGTGTGTGTGTGTTTTCTGTGTGTGTGTGTGTTGTGTGTGTTTCCTCTGTGTGTGGTGTTTGTGCCGTGTGGTGTGTGTGCGTGTGTGTGTGTACGCGTGTTGTGTGTGCCATGTGTGTGTGTGTGTGGTGGTGTGTGTGTGTGTTGTGTGTGTGTGTTGTGTGTTTGTGGTCCGTGTGTTTGTGTGTTTTCGGTGTGTGTGGTGTGTGTGTGTGTTTCTGTTGTGTGTGTGTGTGTTTTCTGTGTGTGTGTGTGTGTGTGTAGTTTTTCTGTTGGTTGTGTGTGTGTGTTGTGTGTTTCTTCTGTGTGTGTGTGTGTGTGTGTTTTCTGTGTGTTTGGGTGTGTGTGTGTGTGTTTTCTGTGTGTGTTGTGTGTGGTGTGTTTTCTATGTGTGAGTGTGTGTGTGTGTTTTCTGTGTGTGTGTGTGTGTTCTTCTGTGTGTTGTGTGGTGTTTTCTGTTGTGTGTTGTGTGTGTGTTTTCTGTGTGTGTGGTGTGTGTGTTGTGTGGTGTGTAGTGGTGTGGTGTGTGTGGTGTGTGTTTTCTGTGTTGTGTGGTGTGTGTGTGTTTCTGTTTGTGTTGTGTGTGTGTGTGTGTGTGTGTGTGTTGTGTGTGTGTGTGTGTGTGTGTGTGTGGTGTGGTTGTGTGTGTGTGTGTTGTGTCCCTGTGTGTTTTCTGTGTGTGTGTTTTCTGTGTGTGTGTGTTTTTCTTTCTGTGGTGTGTGTTGTGTGTGTTTCTGTTGTGTGTGTGTTGTGTGTGTTTTCTGTGTGTTGTTGTGTTGTTTCTGTGTGTGTGTGTGTGTTTTCTGTGTGTGTTTTCTGTGTGTGTGTGTGTGTGTGTTTTCTGTGTGGTGTGTGTGTGTGTGGTTTCTGTGTGTGTGTGTGTGTGTGTTTTCTGTGTGTGTGTGTGTGTGTGTTTCTGTTGTGTGTGGTGTTTCTTGTGTGTGGTGTGTGTGTGTGTGTTTTCTGTGTGTGTGTGTGTGTGTGTGTTGTGTGTGTTTTCTGTGTGTGGTGTGTGTGTGTGTGGTGTTTCTGTGTGTGTGTGTGTGTTTTCTGTGTGTGTGTGTGTGTGTTTTCTGTGTGTGTGTGTGTGTGTGTTTTCTGTGTGTGTGTGTGTGTGTGTGTGTGTAGTGTGTGTGTGTGTGTGTGTGTGTGTGTGTGTGGTGTGTGTGTGTGGTGTGTGTGTGTGTTGTGTGTGTGTTTTCTGTGTGTGTGT